ATTACCACTCAACAAACACCAAGACCGGAAACGATGTCGCTTGGCTTTTATCCGTTCACTAAGCCCTAAAACGTGAGTCTGTCTCGTGATTTTTAGTCACCCTAGTTAATACCAATTAATTTGTGATCTCATTCATCTATCCACTGGGTGATTGATGACAAACAACTCGAGTCGGACAGTGCTTTCGTCGCTTCGTCAACTTTATCGCACTTCGTTTGATTGGTTACGGTTTTCGGATAGACTAGTTCACGATAGGTTTTCGGTGTGGGTGTGTGGGAGAGGGTAGGAGATTTCAGATCAAACGTAGATTGAAAAGTTGCTTAGTTCACTCGATGATTCGTTTATTTGTCATCGGACCAGTTGAGCGAAACGTTCGAAATGTAACACACATATTGACGTATGCAGATGTACGAAGCGGTTACCTTTATGAATCTACTCACATTGCATCAATAATGTATTGTCCCAACAGACTGTTCAATCTCAAAATCAAAACGTTTTTTGTTCATTCGCAGTGTGATCTTTCTCGACTGAGGATATTAGTGCAACCTTTAGGTGGAATAGCCAATGGGGATAATTTCACTGTGCACGGATTTATCCCCACTCACCCTACCCACCCCCTCCCTCCAATGAATAGCACGACAGACTCATCGGTTGCTCGAGCACCGTGAGGCATTTAAAAGGTTGTAGTAGCAGGGGACTGTCGTGAGCTTACGATTCCCTGAAAAAGCGTTTAATTTTGTGTAGAAATAGAGTTAGCTGCAAGAGTAAAGCAACAAAATTACCCCGTGTTTTACAGGTTAGGAATCTATACCTTTTGCAAATCAAGTTGTCCGAATATCATTTCAAAATGTCAGGTATTATTTCAAGATTTCCGAGTATAATTTCGAGTTATCTGAGCATCAATTCAAACTGTCTTGTTGATCGCATCGGCGCCGACAAGCCTTCCAGTGATGTCTGGATGATCACCATGAAGCACAGATTTCTCTATCTTCTGTGGAAGCGCGACGGGACCATTGTGAGACGTGCCTCGGTCACATACACCCCACTTCACATGAAGTACATATTGGTTGTTTATTTGGCAAGTACGCCTACGCGTCTATGTGTGTGTTCTTCCCTCTCCGCTAATAACGATGAATCATGGGCGACCAACGCTTGAGCCATTGCTTACCTCCGTAACATGATACTGTAATAGAATTTATAACCTACACCTTAAGCGGTTGCAATGGGACGGCAATCGCTGATGCTCGATTGATATCCGCAAGTATCACAATCGTCCACCGCACTTCAACAGGATGTAAAGAAATCTGTGCTGCATGGTGGTCATCCAGACATCGCTGGGAGGCTTGTCAGCGGCGATGAGGTCAAGGAGGTAGCTTGAAATGATGCTCAGACAACTTAAAATGATACCTGGATATATTGAACTGATACCTGAAAACTTGAGTTCCAAAAGACAGATGGGATTGGAACTTACGGGCTGAATCTCCGTAGTCATTTACGCAGTGTCATCTTTCCTTGGGCGAATCAACAAGGTCATCGAAGCAGCTGGTGGTACCCACTCAAGTTGCAGATGTGATCGCAGAAAATTGCTCACTGCGAGTATTTTCATTTTGGTAAACGCATCAATTTCATTTTCTATTCAAATTACTCTAAGCCATCGACACTAGTGTGCACTAAGCAAAGCTCGAATCTCATTGACTGCAGTTCCATGCAACAATGCGTGCTTTTCGTGTTTATTATATATATATATATATATATATATATACACATATATATATATATATAACCACACACGTTTTAGGTCAGATTGTGTACCAAGCAAATCACCGTACAATAAGTCGTTATAAAAAGAAAAGTTCCCCAATTCGAGTGTGGTCGGAATACTGCCATGTTGCCTAGGTCAAGACAGGTGAATTGTCTTCGGGAATTCACAACTGGAGTCTGTGAATAACTAAAGCCTGAATCGGAAGGCAGCAAGGCGGTGTGGGAAAACCGCGATCCATTCAGAACCGGTGTCCAGTTCATCGGATCATACGCCTTACGGACGTGGTCAAACGTGCAAGGTGCTCAAAGCACATCGTTGCCCAATTGAGCCGTTGACCATTGCCACAAACAGGAAGGTTGCGCGCACAAGGTTCATAAGCCTCATAAGCCTCCTCTTTGTTGGTTTGGAATCAGGGTTTTTGGTCAACTCCCCTAGATGAACTACCAGTTGTTCACTCACCCGATTATAGCCCCATATGTCGGCATTCGTCCTCTCACTTTGGTGGGGAAACACCTCCCCTGCGGAAAGGTAGTGAACAGGGC